GCATGGCTCCAATCTATACCTTATGAGAAGGACACAGGGAGGAATTTTATGTGCATCTAAATGGAGTGATTAAACATGGATGAAAGGAATTCTGGGGGAAGGTAGTGAGACAAGGACCCAGGAAAGGGACAGGTAGAGTTCCAAGGGAATTACTGTGACGTTGTTGAGGCCTTTGATCTGAGTTACTGATGAACCATGCCTACTTTCAGAGCCTCAGTTTCCTGATATAAAATGAGGGAGCTCACTAGACCTTGTGTGGTCATTTCCACATATGAGTTTTTAGAACATAATGATGTATACAGTAGTTACAAGAAAATACATTCTCATACCAGTAAACTTAGCTCGTCCACTTCAGGACGAAGTCACAAGATTTTAGATCATGGTGATAACTGTAAAGGGAAGAAGACTGAACTCCTCAGTGTCATCCATGTTATAAGGGCTAGAATTAGAATCTGACCTCAAGCCTTCTGGATTCACATCCCATCCCCTTTTTTTCACCCCCATCAAATTTACTTTGAGAAGGAGGTGTTTGATATAGATTCATTTGCCTTTAATTACAGGGAAATTGTACCTCTTAAGAATTAAGGTATCTGGCCACATATTTCCTAAATTTTGTTGTTGGTGCTGCTTTCAGATATTTCATTTGGAGAATTTATTTCAGTTGAGATTTTATTAACTTCTTTGCTTAGAATCTTGCTGAGATTCAAAGCCTTAGGCTTGGTTGGGTGGCTTGAGTGTGGTGAGATTTTTCTCAGAGCTGGAATTCAGTGGATACTTGCAAATCTTTTCTGATGGACAATGAGAGAGGTTGAGGGATGGAGCTCCATTCCTTGTGAATTGTAACATAAAGGCAGTCAAGCCACAGTAGCCTGTGATTTGTTTAACTTGCTTTCCCAATACAAGTACTTGTGGCAGAAACATTTTACCTGACTGTCGCTGCTAAAAGCCTGCCTTGGTAGCAGAGGCCTGATATAGGCCCTCCTTGAACACGATCAGACTCCACACATTGCAGATTTAGTGACCTCTGAAATGCAAAGCACCTCTCCATTAGGCTTTTCATCTTTAGTAATAAAACTGTGCTCATTCACCTAAGTCTCATTTGATTCTGTTAAGCATAAAATGGTGTAATCAGTTTTTTCAGATTGGTAGGTGAGTTGAAATTTTCCATTTGTGGCAATATAAAGAGATATCTTGCATAAAATTTTTTGATTGAAATGCCACTGAAAAATGTCAATGTATTTGCCAGAGTATTTGTGTTCTTTTTGTTAGGGATAGGAAATAGTTGAATGTGTATATGAGCCCCTTTGGGCCAACAATGTATACAGAAACTTAGTTTCTGGATTAAAAGTATGTAAAGCATGCTTCTGTATGTTGACTCATGGAATGAATCATCTTATTTATCTCCTGTGATGTATCTTGACACTCACTTTTTAAATTTAGTCAGTAGTGTGCTGGTAAACTAGCTTTTCAGAAAGAAAAAAGAGCCCTGGTACTCCCATGATGGCCAATTTTAAGATAACAATGGCTTGGCAAAGTAATTTTAACAATTATCTCATAGGAGCCAGTATGAGCCAAAAACACCACTGTTAGTGCTTTTTAAATATACTTTTGTATGCTTTCTAATTGTTTTATGTATAAAATCCTTCTGTCTAATCTTATTTTGAGGCTCTTAGTAGTAGGGACCCTGCCATATTCTTGCATATGTCTTCCTTTTTTTCTTCCCCAGACATGTCTATGTATGTGCAGCAGCAAACATGCATGGTAACCTATTTCATCAACACTAAGATGATTGTTTTCACATTTTAACATTCCTAAAATCATTGGCAGCTTACCATCAATGGCATGTCACAGCATAATTGGCAAAATTTTCTTCTTAGGGTTTCATATAATTATTTGAATTTAATGAAATATGTTAAATGCTGAATAAATGATATTTCACATGAATACAATTACATTCTGTGGACTAATGCGTCTTTTCATATATTTGATAAAGTAAGTTACCTCTCTACTCCTATCCGTATGAGAAAAAATGAAATGCTCCTAGTGTACCTCTTGTTCATTTGTTTTAGCGCTCACATTTGGCACATAAAAACTAAATCAGCAAGGTAGGCTCCAACTTGTTTTGTACATCCTGATGTTTTAAAACTGTCTCTCTCTGTCTGGGAAGTGTCCTTTTGGAAAATGGGGTCACTGGCATGATTGATCACTAGATGCTGTATGTTACAGCCAACCAGCCATTGCACTTAGTGTCCAGCGTTTCTGGTCCCTGGCATCTGGCATATAAGGAAAACCTTACGGTAGACAGAATAATGGCTCTTGAAAGATGTCCATGTTGTAATCCTCAGAACATGTGACTATGTTACTTTATTTATTTCTTTGTTAATATGTTTTTATTGATTTCACAGAAGGAAGGGAGAGGGAGAGAGAGATAGAAACATCAATGATGAGAGAGTCATTGATCAACCGCCTCCTGCAAGCCCCCTACTGGGGATCGAGCCTGCAACCCAGGCACGCGCCCTGACCGGGAATCGAACCATGAACTCCTGGTTCATAGGTCAACGCTCAACCACTGAGCCACGCCGGCCAGGCTGACTATGTTACTTTACGTAGCAAGGGGAATTAAGATTTCAGTTGGAAATTAACCTTGCTAATCAGCTGACCTTAAAATAAGATTATCCTGGATTAGTCTGGATGGACCCAATATAAGTAATCACAATGGTCCCTAAATGAGGAAAACGGAAGCAGAAGAGCAGGAACCAGAGAGAATGCTTCATGGGAAAGATGACCTGCCATCAATGGCATTGGCAGTGGAATGGGGCCAGGAGCCAAGTGATATGGGCAGCCTCCAGAATGTGGGAAAGGAAAGAGAAAGAATTCTTCCTTAGAGCCTCTAGAAGGAACGCAGCCCTGTTGACACCTTAATTTTAGCCCAATGAGACCCATTTGGACTTTCTGTCCTCAAGAACTATGGAGTAATAAGTGTGTGTTTTCAGCTGCTAGTACGTGATACTTTTGTACAGCAGCAATAGTTGCTACATAAATTTCATCCCTTTAAATGGACTAAGTCACACTTTGAGCTAAATAAAACTGGTTATATAAAAAATGATTATTTTATATTGTCTCTGAACAAGTTTGCTAAGGAAATTTGTAATGTAAAGCAGATTGTGAATACATATATACATATTATGTATATATATTTAAGAGAAAGAAGATTTAAAGATTTCAGTACATTGTTTTTATGCTAATGTTATGGCTAATTTTGAATGGAAGTTATATATTTGTTAATTTTTGTCTATAAGAAACCTCATTTAAAATTTTTCTATTTCTACACTAGGTAGAATAATAAATCTTGGACTATTTTCATGATTCATATTTTTCCATCATTATGAATTTTTTGTATATTTTGTATATTAACTCCTTATCAAATATATGATTTGCAAGGGGACTTTTGAAGGCAATTCTAGTGATGGCTCAGGAAGAAAAGAGAGTGGAGAGAAAGCTTCCCTTCTTAGAGAATACATAAATAATCATGTGCAGAATGTTTTGTTGCAGGTAGAACCTTTGAGGTGGGGGGAGCTTAAGTTACCTGCTCCCAGTTACAGATGCAGCAGTGGTGGAGTCGGGATGGACTGGGGCTGGAGCCTTAGCCACTGCGTCCCTTGCCCTGCCCTCCGCAGGGGTAGACAGTCTGGGGACAGGCAGAGCGGGGAGAGGGGGCTGGGGTTCATGACTGCCGTAGGCCAGAAGTCCTCTCTCAGCATGACCCACGATATCTCACCTTAGGTTTTCCCTAGGACTGACTTAACATTTGGCAATAATCTTGTTTTGGAGCTTTTCCAGTTTAGGAAGAAGAGGGTCTGTAATAGGTATTGTTCTCATTCCAGGGCCCTAGAAGAAAAGAAGTAGGAGTTTGTGTGTGGAAGTGCCTTGTGATGTGCAGAATGGGATGGCACTTTATGCTCCTTCCCCAGCTTCAGGCAAAGTGTCTGACATTGGGAAACTCAGACACTCGGTAACCATTTATGAATGAATTGGCCTATAACACAGGAAGAAATCAAGCTCTCGCACACACACACACACACACACACACACACACTCTGTCTGTGCATGCACATCTCCCCACTAGACTGGGGCTCTTTAGCGGGGATCTGTGCCTTCTCTGTGTGCCAGTGCCCCATAGCATGCCGTGAAAATGGCCCTCAGTGAATGCTTGTGATGGATAATATTGCAGTGCCTCTCCTTTTAGTTGGGGTTTTTATGGGATAGACACTCTCTCTCTGTGGGAGCAGGTGGAGGGATTGATAGGAATCGTGACTTCATTACTTCCGAGCCCCACTTACATATTCAACATGGTGGGAGGCAGGGTCCCGAGGACTGAGCATGGAGACGCTGCAGCTGGGAAGGCAGCTCCCCTGGTGACTCAGCAGCGCGCATCCTCAGGCACCCCAGGGATGTGGGGAGCGCATTTGTTTCCTGGAAGACTTTTCTCCAGGATTGAGCCAGAAACGGGGTCGTTCTCCACCCAGCAAACATGAGCGAGTAAATGGTCTTGTCCGCCCCATAAAGAAGCCGACGCGTTAGACTGCGCTGGCCTCTCGGCTGTGGGCGGTGTGAATAGCGTGGCCTTTGAGCAACAGGGCACGGTGGCCTGGTGGGCGCTGTGACCGGCGCAGTCGTTGATCTTACGGACGGGAGCAGGAGAAGACCACAGGACTGAGGCAGTGTGACCAGGAAGTCCCGCTTTGACAGCAGATTCGAAAGTGACTTAGAGGGAGTGGTGAGCCCAAGGAGCAACACAGTCACCACGCCCAGGGCGAGGGGACCTCATTGGGCCCAGGGTCATGCCCAGTGCAAGAAAGGAAAGACTGGAGGGCGGGAAGGAGGAAGAACGGGGAGTACAAAGGTGGAAACGTCAGAAAAGCTCTGAGTTGGTGACCCGGTCAGTAAAATTCTTGTAACTGAGTAAATGCAAGGGAGGCTGCGGGCCTGTACTCAGCCCCATGAAGAAGGTTGGCTGGAAAGGGTCAGACAGACCGCGGTGTGGCTCCGACACGGGTGCTGCCATCGCCTGTGAGGGAGGCCTGCTGGTCAGAACGAGCACGGCGTTTATGTGGACGTGGTGGGAATGCTTGTATGGACGACAGCCAGTCTGTTCCGGCTGCTGTAACAATACCATACACTGGGCGGCTCAAACATCAGAAGCCTATTTCTCACAGTTCTGGTGGCTGGAACATTCAAGATTAAGGTGCGAGAAGATTTGGCGTCTGGTGAGGACCCACAGCTAGCTGTTTTCTGGGTGGTCATTTCACATGGTGGAAGGAACAGAGGAGTTCTGTGGGGTCTCTTTTGCGAGGGCACTAATCCCATTCGTGAAGGCTCTGATATCATGACCTAATCACCTTCCCAAAAGCCATTCTCCTTATACCATCACACTGGGGGTTAGGATTTCAGCACACACATTTTGGGGGGGAAACAAACATTTAGTCCATAACGACCGTTTTACTAAATCTGTATATAATTTCCTGTAGTACAATTTCTTGTTATCAAACAATTCATTAATCTGAAGTTTCAGTTAAAAATAATTCAGGCATTGTCTAATAAAGGAATGATGCCCGGGTAGATCCAGATAGTTATTATTCCTCAAGTGCTGCGATGATAGTCATGGAAGAAGTTGCTTTATAAATGGCATCCCAACCTGGACCTTTGATCATTCCTAAACAGGGAAAGGTATGGAAACAGGTGTGTGCAAAGGTCTCAATTGAGCTGGATCCATTCGACCTGTAAGTAAGAGTGGAAGGCATTATGCACACTCATTCACTTAGTAGGGACCTGAGGGAGCAGAATTAAAATGAGGTGGGTGCCGAAGCTGGCTAAGCATTGCTATTAGCACCTAAATATTTAAAAAGTTACAAAGTGTGGATTAAAGGAAGGGCATATTTTCTGTCAGTAGGGAAACTGAGGTCCATGTTATCCCATCTTTTTGACCCTACTTCATTTAATCAGGGTTTTAGCACTCACAGCTATTCCAAAACCACTTTTTTTTTTTTTTTTGAACTGGAGCCTGAAAAACAGACAAAAGGCTATATGTGATATCAGTCTAATGATTTATCTTAAGAATCTGTGAACTGTGGAATCATGATTGTTAAGACTGAGAGACACCTGCTCACCTTTCTGAAATGAGTTGCTGAATAGATATTCTGAGATTCAGAAAGGGTAAGGGATACAATGTTGACCTTTTGGAGACAGGAAACCTTTGATGAACTATAGGACACCAAGACAGTTCATTTAAAAGAAGGTTTCAAAGCATTATCTGAGCTAGTTTTGTATGTGCTTTACTGAAGCCCTTGGGCTGTCTTTTTACATAAACCCAGTGAAATAATGGTTTCCACACTTGTTCACATGTCTACAACCCTCATGTGGCACCTTGGCTTCTGGGCTTTGTAGCTGCTTTTCAGTCTCTTTTGTGCACAAAATTAAAATTTCCTTACCATCTGACAGCATGGAACTTCCCTGAGACGGGCGTTAAAGAGAAAAGAGATAGGAAAAGGTCACAGTACCGTCTCCGTGTAATTAATGCCGTGCAAACAGCTAAAAAAAGTGTTGCTAATGACATTTACTCGATTCTCTATGAGTCTGTGTTCTAGTCTTGGAATAAGTTAAGCATCAGCTGCTTATAAAATGTACAGATTGTAAATCTTTTTTACAGGTAATAGCAAATGTATTTTTTTAAAGACAGCTTTATGTTAGTTGTGTTTAGGCTTGTGTGCTCTTTTTCTCTGCCTATCTTTCTTTGTCTCTCACTCATGTGTATATACGTGGATGCACATATCTGCATACATGTATACATTCATGTATACATACATGTATATACATGTGTCTGTGCTTTTGTCAGGTAATAATATTTAATAAAGTACAGGTTAAAACTTAGAAAAATAGCTTCAAACTTATTTATAGTCTTAGATTGACTACCAACCAAGGTAGAGCATGTAATCAAGGAGCCAGTCTGCCCTCTTTTGGCTCTTAACACATTGTTTGCGGGTAGTTTTTATCGCGTGCTCTACTACCAGTCAAAGTAAAATGTATAAATACGTTTCCCGCATACAATGTGTTAAAATGAAAGACCTTAAAAATCAAAAGTGATCAATGATTATATTTTGGCTCTGGATGTGGAATTAATGAAATTGTCTGGATATATATGAGAAAATTAAGACTTCTAAACTGCTGGGCTTAAATGTAGATAGAAATTTATACCAGTAAGAATAAGTCCGAAACAAAATTGTGCCTTCACTTACCGAACACATCATTTTTTAGGTACACAATAAATAATCAATAGGGATACCAAGAATGATGCACCATCTTGGCCTTGAAATTGGGCAGAAGAGACTAAAAAATAAATAATAGCATATTGTGTGACATGTAATGCAACTCAGGGGTATAGGTGAGTGGCGTGGAAGGTAGGGTAGCCCACCCAGTGTGTTTCAGGAAGTGTTTCCAGGGAGAAGAGATGCTTGTGAATCGCAGGTGTTGGCTGCTAGCCACAGGTAAGGGAAAGTCCTTTGCAGTGGAAGGACTGTGCATTGTGTCCAGAAGACATGAAAGAACATGTTGAGTAAGTGCAGGATAGTTTGAGTTAGAGTTTAGGATGTAATGGGAGAAAGAAGCGTCCCCTGAAGGACCCCCAACTTCTCCATCAGGCTTCCTCCATGAAGACATTCCTGATGACTAGTGCTCTCCTGCTCTGTGTCCCCATGACATTTTGCATATTTCTAGTGTTGGATTTTTTATGACAATTTAATTGTTCATGTCTGATTTTCATACTTGTCTTCAGGATAAACAACATCAGGACTATCTCCCAGTTTTTATCATCAAACCTAGAAAACAGTAGGTGCTCAGTAGTACCTGTTTATTAAACACATCCATGGGTGACTGGCTGGAAGAGTAAGATCATGCACAGTTTGGAGATGAGAAAGTCAAGAATTACCTTGGGTATCAAGCAACACTTTATAAAACCTTAATGGTTTCAATTTTCTGTTTCAGATTACTTGCAGCATATAATAGCCTTACTGACAAACACCTGGCTGGATATTTTAACAATACAAGGATAAGGCGGCATCTCTTAAGATCAGGGCTGGTAAGATTTGGTTTACTTTCTACCTATCCTTTTGTTTCATTAAGTCCAATAATTCCCTCCCTTTTCTGATTTTCTCTTCAAACTAATTAGGGACATCTCCCTCCACCCCCCATTTCAGAAAAATTACTTCCTTTCCAAAGTTTTGATTTATCTTGTTGAGGCTGTGTTTCAAAAGATAGGAAAGGAGGTCACAGTGACTGCTAAGGCAACTTATAAGTTATCAATCAAAACCCTGAGTTTTCAACAGCATATTTCACTTCTTTGTCTATTCATTCATGTATTCAACACACCTATTGAACACAGTTTATAGGCCAAGAACTATTAAGGATTAAGGAGAGAGAGGACATTTCTGTCTTTAGGAAAAATTATGTTTTTAATGATCACGGAATCTGGTGTGGAAGACATAAACAGTTCAAATTCCTCTTCGAACTTTTGTTTTGTTTTTTTTAATCTTCACCTGAGGATACTTTTTTCCATTGCTTTTCAGAGTGAGTGGAGAGAGAGAGAGACAGCGATGTGAAAGAGACAGATTGGTTGCCCCCTGTGCCCTGATCCAGGTCTGGGATTGAGCCTACAATCTTTGGGGTATGTGCCCTTGACAGGAATCGAACCCGAGACCCTTCAGTCTGTGGGTGACACTCTAACCACTGAACCAAACCTGCTAGGGCTCGAATTTTTAAAAACACTTTCATTTTCTAGGGTGGTTTATTGATACATTAATGTGTTTTGCTAGCTCCAAACCTATCATTTCCACAAAAAATCCCATTCCTCTAAATGTAATGTGAACACCATTTAAAAATACTCTAGCTTTCTGCTGAAAGAAATGGGCGTGGTTATAGAAAGTGTGACTAAAGAGTCTGGTGTTTACCTTCTTAAAATACAGTGGTTTTCCTTAACTATTGTTGCTATGGTGCTGCGATTGTTGTTTATGTGCTTGGCACTCTGGCCTGGTAGGTCTCAGAGCTCTTGCTTTCTGCCTCCTGCGTATCTTTGTTATCAGACAGACCAGGCTGAAAGGTGGCTCTGTCATTTATAAGACACAGACTTTAGGAAATCACTTAATTTTGTTGCCTCCAGCTTTCTCAGTTGTAAAATAAAGATAATGATACCCAGCCCTCAGGATTGTTGTGTCAATTAGAGATGTGTAATAAATGGTTGTTGTAATTATTGTGGTTACTATTAACATTACTTCTTTGGGTAACAATATGTGAGCTTCATGTGTAAATAGGAAGGACTTGGCATTTACTTATCAACATCATTAACAAGCACTTTATTGAACATTGGTTAGGTGCATGGCAGCTCAAGGAAGATACAGCTCTTTCTGTAGAGTAGTCTTTCAAAATGCAAATTTTAGAGCCCCACCCAAGACCTAAGGAGTCAGAAGCTATGGGGTGAGGCCAATTAATTTTTTAAAAATTAAATTTATTGGGGGTGACGTTGGTTAATAAAATCATATAGGTTTCAAGTGTAGAATTCTATAGTACATCATCTGTATATTGCATTGTGCGTTCATCACCCAAAAGTGAAGTCTCTTTCCGTCACCATATATTTGACCCTCTTTACTCTCTTCTATCTCCCCCCATCCCTTCCCCTCTGGTAACCACCTTACTGTTGCCTGTGACTTTCTGTTTGCTTTTTTAAAAAAATGTTTTTATTGATTTTAGAGAGAGAGGAAGGGAAAAAAAGAAACATTGATGTGAGAATGAAACATTGGTCCGCAGCGATACCCCCTGCACGGCCCCTACCGGGGATAGAGCCTGCACCCTGGCATGTGCTCTGACCAGGAATTGAACCAAAAGAGGGATTGTTGGATCATATAGTAACACCATTCTTAATTTTGAGGAACCTCCATACTGTTTTCCCTAGTGGCTGTACCAAATTAAAATGGTCATATGACTCCAAAGCAAGATACAGATTTCATGTAATCCCCATCAACATCCCAATCTGTTTTCCAGTTGCCTTCTAGGTGATTATGACACAGACTCAAGTTTAAGAATTTTTGCCCTGTAGGCACTTCCAGTTTAGTTGGAGAGACCAGACAGCTCCCAGGGGAGAGAGAACAATGACACAATGACATATGTCAACTGCAGAGGGAGGGCCAGTACAGCACATTTTCAACATATTTTTCCAGTTAGAGCACACGACATGATATTCCATGGACAACATATTTTGAAGACTGTGGCTGAGTTGTAATTCTAAGCACAGTTTCTATACCACACTCCTTTCTTTCATTGGAAAGTGTATTCACAAAAAAGGTTATCCATAGGCAATCGCTGTAGCACAATTTATTCACAACACTCCAATATGTCACAACAACAGTGTTAAAAAATCCTGCAGTGATCAAAATTGAGAAACATGTGGGTAGACGAGACCTGAAAAGAAGAGCAGGCTTCATTAAGTGGAATGAAAGATGAACAATCCAGGAAAAATAACACCTGTTGTTTATAGAACATAAAGAAAAATACAAAATATGTGCCCACAGGAAGGATTAAAAGAAAAGAAAAACAAGTACACTTGACCCTTGAATGACATAACACAGGTTTGAACTGCATGGGTCCACTTGTGTGTGGATTTTTTTCAATAAATACCTGTATTGTTTTTGATCTGTGGATGCTGAAGGCCAACCGTATGTGTTGATTTACACCATTTTGTATAGGGGACTTGAACATCCATGAATTTTGGTATCATCAGGGGTCCTGGAACCAATTCCCCACAGATACTGAAGGACAACTAAGTTTTTGAGGATTCGAAAGTTATATGCAGATTTTCAACTGCGTGGGGATGGATACCCCCTAAACGCAATGTTGTTTAAGGGTCAATGGTAAATAGAAAAACTGAGACTTCCACTCTTGGGACTTGCAATGATGCCAATCGAAACCAGCCTGGAATACTATATATCTGCGGCACTGTGTAATCTAAAAAAATCTGAATCACAGCAAATAGTATTATATTCTGGGCAGGAGAGTGGAAGAATAAAATGCAGTGTGAAAACAAAGAAATAAAGCCAATCATTTTAAAAACAAACAAACTGATGAGCGCCTCTGTAGCTTACCTGCTTTGTCCTTCCAAGTATATTTCCTGTGAGATCATCAGTCCTGCGATCACTGCTCCTAACCCATTGTTTCAAGGTAGCCCCAGACCCCTTCCTCCCAATGTGTGCAAAAAAAGAAATGAAAAGAACACCTGGGTTCCATCAAGGCAAATTGCTACTCTAAGGAAAACCTGTGTGTGTGTTCCCGGTGATGGGTATATAAGACTGCCTTTCTCTTGTTTTGCCTTATGGAATATTTATTAAAAGTGAAAGTTTATCAACCGCAGTAGTATACTCCTTTAGGCTTAGGAGACGCTCCCTCTCTCTCTCTCCCCCTTTTTGGTGACTAACTACATTTTCTGCTTTGTATTTCTGTGTCTGTCTTATTTATTCATTTCAGATCACAAGAAGTGGAAGAATACTTTCTGAAAAAGAATACAAACTAAATATCATGAAGAGGGATCATCAGAAATATATCCGGGAGTGCTTAGCCCAGGCTATTTTCCATAAGGTTCTTGATATGGAGGTACAAGTATTTGCTATTATTTTCTTTATAACTGATGTTTTCTAATATGATAATTAATAATACTTCTGCATCCAGAGGTAGAGGTATTCTTGTATTTCATTAAAAAAGAATGGAACAAGGTAACCTGAGAAATGCTCTATGTCTCTCTAGGTAGCAAGGAGTCAACAGACCAAGGTAAGCTTTTCTCCATTTCAGTTTGAGAAAAATATGGACACCATCATATACTTCATGATACTTAATTTAACAAGTGTAGATTTTTAATCCATAATGGCTACTCTAAAACATACCAGCCCTCACCATCTGTACCTCAATTTCCATTTGCTAAAAAAAAAAAGTGACATCTGTTTAAATATCAGTAATTCCACCGCCATGAAATATTTCAGATTTGTTATTCTTCTAAGGCTCTGAAGCTCAGCCGTATGCTAAATTTCAAGGAATAGGCATTGAAACATCTGCTGTCCCTCCTACTTCAGGCCACATTGGTCAGCATGGATTTACAATCTAAGTATCAACCACATTTTTTTAAATCTGACATGGCATTTTTAGTAGGATATCTAGCTAACTTGATAAATTATTTTAGCCTTGCTCCATGAAATTTGTAGTTTCAAGCATCAGCGCCATTTTAATCTCTGTGAAAAAGCATGTCACTTCTTGGCTTGAACATGCAGCAATAACTCAGAAAACTTGGCTCATAAAACCGTTGACCTGTGGGTGCAGTAAACATTTATGAACAACTGTAGAATCATCAGTAAACCAATACTAAGTTTAGTGCCACTGAAAATTATGCTACCATTATACTGAGCAAGTGTGTTCACTCAAGGTGTATGGGGTCTGTTCATTTAGGAATTCATGTTGTGCTTATATCAGGTGCATGAATTACACAGAATCATTGTTTATGGCCCCCAAATTCACTTGATTGTAAAAGTATTAGTTGCAATTATATAACTAGTGTTTAAGAAATAGTACAGTGTAAAATTAATCTATTCCTGGCTTTAAACCAAGTTCTGTATTAGCCTTGATCATTGAAATTTGGTTTTCTAAACTTTCATATAACTGACACATTATAACTGGTGAATATGCTAATATTTAAGCATCTTTTTGTACTCTTAAAGTTTGGAATAAATATCTTAGATAAATGGTAAAATGTAACATATAATTGTAATATACAAATTAATTAACAAATAGAATATTTCTAAATTGCCACATTTGTCTCACATTCAGTTTAAGCTGATGTTGTTTACTAATGTTGTGCTATTAATATTCATGTATTCATGCAACAAACATTAATTGCAGGCTTACTATATACCATTATGAGGCCATGTGATGTATAGCTGTGAGATATAATTTAAAAAAACCCCAAAAAACCACTAGAAAGTGATCAAATGCTAGAAGAAAGGAGCTTACAGACTGATTTCAGAAAAGAAGGGGTTGGTGACTTGCGTCTGTGAGAGGCAGGGGAAGCTGCGCAGAGGTCCTGCTATTTGAACTGGACCTTGAAAACTGAATGAGACATCGCATGGAGCCGCGAGAAAGGCATTGCACAGAGCGAGGTTACAGACGTGTGAAAGGGCATTGTGGGTGGAAAGGAAAGCTCACTGAGGCCAGACTGCACAGTGGGTTGGTTGAAAAAGAGGTAGGGAGGGACACTCTCCAATAAGTGGGGGCCCAGTTTCTGGAGGGCCTTCAATTCCAAACTAGGTTTGGAGTGTAGGCGATGAGGCGACGAGCCATTTTTTAGCAGGGGAGTGAAATAAATGAGCAGAGCTGTGTTAGAAAGATGATGTTGCTAAAAATGTGGAAGATGGATTAATGAGCTGGAAAAGATTGGAGGTGGGAGGTCAATTAGGAAGCTGTTGCCAAAGGGTGTGAGCCAGCAGCGGCGGTGGAAGCACTGGGGAGAGGCAGCTGTCCACGGGCGGGAGAGGGGGGGACTGACGCTGCCTGAGTGAGCGGGCGAAGGAGAAGGAGCCCAGAGACGCTCTGAGGTCTCCAGCTGGCGGGGGGGGCTTCGCAAGAGATCAAGAACAGCAGCGGAGGCTGTTGGAAAGAGTGGCGCCTGGGAAGGCAGGGTCTCGCAAGTGGCAGGATGGGTAAGATGAGTCCTGGGACAAAGGAAGTTGGGCTTGACCCAGAGGACAAAGACTTCGGTGGCCTTGGGGAAAGCGGTTCCCGCCATGGGGACAATGAGGGGTGGTGGGAGGGGGTGGCTGCAGGGAGTTGGAAATAAGTGGAAGACGGAAAGTGGTTGATATCAGACCTAATAAAGCTGGGTGGTAAGTGGATGAGACCAGGAAAGGGCGAGAGAGGAGGGAGTGTGCTGCTCAGCGAGCGTGCAGGGCCTCAGGGCAGCAGGCGCAATCAAGAAAGAGGAAAAGCACTTTTGAAAAGGCTCTCAAATGCGTCTGAATGATTTCAACCTGGATTATAAGCAGATTATTTTTATATGGGTTTTATTTTTCAATTATATGACTAATATATTACAGAAAATTTGGAAAACATAAGGAAGCATCAAAAGGGAAAATAACCACATATATAACGCCTCCCCTCAGAGAAAACTGCTGTTTACATACTCACCTTTCCTTTTAGTCTCTATTCATATTTATACATTAATAAAAGCATGCTATATTGAGAGGGCCATGGTTTTGTGAAAACAAACAAACAACACAAACTTATAGGAAGTTACTGTCAGACCAAAATTCAACCACTGACTAGATATGTGACCTGGGGGCAAATCCATGATCTGCTTCAGATTCTACATTAGTAAAATAAGACTGCTTAGCAATTTCAGTTGTTCAAGAAGAGATGGTGCACACGAAGCACCTTCCTAGCGTGGGCACAGGCACACAATATGAACTTGAACAAATTAAATTGCATTTCTGTGCAATTCTGTATCTTTTTTTTTCTTTCTGTATTACATGCATTTTCTACATTTTAAAACAAAATCTTTATAACCTTATTTTAATGATCATATTCTATTCCATTACATGGATGTGCCAAAACCTTAAGCCATCTCTTTAACCATTCTNGCATGTAATTTTAAAACAAAATCTTTATAACCTTATTTTAATGATCATATTCTATTCCATTACATGGATGTGCCAAAACCTTAAGCCATCTCTTTAACCATTCTCTGAGTTTTTGCTTTAAGGAGAACATTACCAGCAGCAACAAAAACCTTTCAGATGGCATCTTGGTGCATAACACATTTTTTTTTTAAAAATCCAGATTTTCTTTTAAATTTAGAAGTGAAATTTATTGGTTAAAGGGTAAGGACACTTTTACCTGCCTGAGATATGTTATGTTGGCTTTCCAAAGAGTTGCATGAATTTATATTCCCACTTGCACACTAAAGCAGGTGATCCTTCTCCATCTCAGTGACAAAAGGGGTAATTGAGACTCCAGTTAGCTGGTAGGATTATTTTCCTCTAAAAAATGTGTTGCTGTAATTGATATGAATCTCTCCTCCATTCTTTCCTGTATGCTTAGCGTTCCCATCAGCTTGAAATAAAAAAGAAACTGGAGACCTTAGCTAGAAAGGAGCGAATCCAGAGGTTTAAGGTAAGAAGTCACATAACTCTCTTTGACTTCATAAGATTATTTTATGATTTTGAAAGCTAGTGGTGCTATTACTGAAGTTCCTTGGGGCACTTTACTTTGGGGTAACTCATAGCTGAAGTCTAATGATGGTTCCACCAAGCCTAAACCTCGGCCCCATAAGTACAGAAGATCACGACAAAACAGGAGCTGCCTGTGCAAACTGAGTTGCATAAGACAGAAACCTTTCAAAGAAAAACTTGAAAACATTCTTTTCAAGTTTGAAATTTTGCTTTTGTGTTTTCTTGGTTGATATGTGATAGAGGCCAAAGGATTTTTTATTTTGTTTTTGTCTTAAGAAGGTAAAAATAGATGATGATGTTCCCAATGTGATGGAAAACAAGGAATTCTAAGAATTATCCAATGGCACATTTTCATGCAAATGTGACTCTTGAGACTATGTGGTAGGAAAAATCTACCTTAGCAAACAATAAGATTTAGGCATTTTGTACAAGGCATTTAAAAATTCCCTGTTTGCCCTGGCAACATGGGTCAGTGGTTGAGCATTGACCTATGATCCAAGAGACCGTGATTTGGTTTCTGGTCAGGGCACATGTCCTGGCTGTGGGCTCCATCCCCAGCAGGGGGCGTGCAGGAGGCAGCCGATCACTCTCTCATCATTGATGTTTCTCTCTCTCCCTCTCCCTTCCTCTCTCTGAAATCAATAAAGATATTTAAATATATATATATATAT